AGGAATGGAAAGTTCTTTATCCCCTGACCTCAGCTCCAATGGCTGCTACAAACCCAAGCACAGAGGAAAGTCTCTGAAGACAACTAGCAGTTCTGCATGCCATTACAGGTACCTGCTCAAGGAGTCCTGGTGGGATGGGGCGCTTGTTGATGGATGCTGCCTTCTGAATGACTTTCTTAGCTTCTTCTATTCTGCCTTTTGTCACCAGCCACCGAGCCGACTCTGGCAGCACCCTGCCAAGGAGATGAAATCAGGAGATGCTGCTGTGGCCTGCTGAGTTTACCCCCAGCCCAGCTCCTTGTGACTACGTCCGGCAAACAACGGGCATTCCATATGATGGGGGGGGTCTAAATACCCTACATTTAGGCCCCAAAGGCCACATTTGCAGACCTGAAGCAAAGCAGCTGCTGCTCTCAGAGCTCCAGTGCCCCGTGGAGATGTGCTGAGCTCTGCAGAAGCCTCTCCAGCATCTGCCCTATAATGGGAAAGACCCAGCCTGCTCCTGAGCTGCTGCCTCCTCACTGCCGCCCCTCACACTTGCTGCTGTCATGTCTGCGAGAAGCTCTGCCCTGCTCCTGCTTACCAGATGTAGAAGAAAAGGACAAATACAGGAGCAGATCCTGCAATCTCCAGCAGCCTCCAGTTGCGAATACCATAACTCAAGCCAGCCAAAACCATCTGTCCGATGGAGAAAAAGCAGAGAGAAATAAGCACTGCCTTTGGCCGGGAGGAGACACCAACCCATTCTGCAGCTGAGAAGAAGAACGAAGGTTCAGAGTCACCCTTTTCAAAACATGCAGGACTATCTTTTTTTATTGCATCTTGTGAGGCCACATCTGTCTGCCTCAGGGCATGAGCATCCTACTTACCCAAGGCCAAGGCAGTAATCAGAATTCCTGACACTGAAGCCCCCACGACACATCTGAAGGCCATGTATACGTAGAAATGGGGCACAAAGGCAATTCCTACACCAAATAAGCCCTGGAGGAGGTTGGAGATCAGAAAGACTGGCCGACGGCCTATCCTGTGGAGGAAGAGGGAAGACACAGTTGGTATCTGGAGAGACCCCATAGGGATGGGGAAGAGCCCAGGTGGAATACAAAGTGATCTGAGAAACATTCACACCAGAGGAGATTTGACACCCATGTGAACAAAGCTCCTCTATAAGCCCCAAGAAGTAACCGGCAGGAAAAATAGCATCTCCACTTTTGACCCGTCATGGTGCTAGCAAAGGCAAAAGGAGATGCTTCTAAAGGAACCAGCCCTTGAAGGGCCCTCATGTCCCCTCTCTCGAGAGCAGTGAGGATCAGACTGAAATGGACTGTAGTGCCGGTTCCCTTGTGAGGCACCCTGTACACATGCTGTGCCCTTCTCCCTTCCATGTCCCCTGTGTGGCTGTGTCCTGTAGGGAGCTGAGGACTTTGGTCTGGGTCACCTTGAACTGAGCAGAGCCACAGGAAGGAGGGACACATGGTCTGGTTAACACAGCTGAAGGTGAGTCCAACTCTGTGCCCAAATGTAGGTTTCTTGGATTTCTGGAGACACCTTTGGGTAGCTGAGAGACCAGTTGGGGCTAGACTTGTGATTCCTGAAGGACCCCTCCATAAGGCTGTGTCTGCCTCGCTCTCTTTTCAACCCTCAGACATCTACAGACATGTCAGGTGGCCCCAGATGCCCTTGCTCAGGCAAGTAGATTGAGTCCTGTGGAGGGAGTATTTCATGCTCAGTGCAGAGTATTTCACGCTTATGCATCCTGAACTCTCAGCTGGGCTGTCTCTGGGTGCTGGACGATAAACTCTGGGAAGGTGGCTGTGTTTCCTCACCTGTCACTTAGTGGCCCAAAGATCACGGCTCCTAGGAGAAGCCCCAACATGTAGATGGACTGGGAGATGTCATTCAGGTCCTTCCTGTCACACACTAGGTCAAACTGGAGGAAGGAAACACAGCTGTTTTTGCTCTTGACAGACCTCAGCTGCTTTCTGAGGGTGGCAGCCCTTCTGGTCCATGGTGGACCCAGGAGTTGGGTGTCTGAGCTTTTGCTCCAGTCCCCGGGAGCAGAGAACCCAACCCCAAGGACGCGAGCCTCCATGGTGTGCACATAGGACACAAATCAGGGGTGGGACAGGCGTACGAGGTACTCAGCCTGCCTCTTCATCATGGTGCACATCTACCCAGAGCTGGGACCTGCAGGACTCCCCTCCAGCCCAGACATCCCTGAGGGAGTCTCCTGGTTGGCAAGTTTTGCTTAAGGTGGGACCTTGGGATAAGAGTCCTAGCAGCTTCCTTCTCTGGCTGTAAAGGCAGGAAGGAGTGGAAGGGCAGGAAGGAGGCGGAGGGCAGGAAAGCAGTGTTTCCTCTGGTAAAGGAGGACTGGGAAGGGATGCAGCAGCTGCTGAGGAGCCTCTAGAGAAGCTGGCTGTGAAATGGACACAGTGCTCAGGGATCCCAAGGAGCCTCTGCAAATGCCAGAGGCTGGACTCTCTCCTCTGGTTTCAGCTCCGAGGAAGGTACTCGCGAGAAAGTGCTGGAGCTGGGAGTGAGGAAAGGAGGGAGGAAGGGAAGAAGAAGGAAGGAATGAGGGAAGATGCGAGAGGAACAGAGGTCCAGAGAGGGAGAAGTTGGGGATGCTGACAGACAGAGCTTTTGCTCAACTGCATGGCCCATGGGAGGTTTTGCTGCAGCCCTGAGGGTCCCTGAAGGCCCCAGAAATATCAACGACAAGCCCTTGAAAGGTAAATGTCTTTCACAGAGAAGGTGATGTGAGGAGAACCAGGCTGAAGAATAAGGGAAACTGTGGCAGGGAGACCCAAAATGTCCCTCCAGACAAGATACATCATGGGTTCAAGGGCCTGGATGCTGGAAAGGGGAGGGATGGTGGGCAGAGCATGTGCTGGAGTCACACCCACACCATCACTGCCTGTGGCCCCCCCGGGCACCTACGTCATGGTCTTCCTGCAACAACCTCCCAAGGATTACAGCTGTGATCTGTGTGATGGAGCCAAGGTCCCCAGTGCCTGGTGTAAATCTCAGCCTGACTGCACCACAGCTGGCCTTGGCTTACCAAACTACAGGACAGGGTATGCCATCCCTTCCCTTCCACGTCCCTGTGTCAAAAGGCGATTACAGACCTCGGTCAGCAGGGACGGCGGTTGTGCTGAGGGGTACACCCAGCCACTGCTGCATTTCTCTGTGGCGTTCAGGCCGTACGCCACAATGGAGCCGAGGTCCCGGTCCACCGGCGAGTACATGGAGCACTGCTCGTACGCTCCATCTGCGTCCCGGGGCAGGGTGAGGTTCAGCGGCTCTTCCTCTGTCAGGTTGGGGCCGATGGCACGGATCCAGCTGGTGTTGCAGTGATGAGGCACATCCACAACCATGAACATTTGGCCAATCATTTGGAAAGGAATAAGAAGTTGTGGGAGGGAGAGGAACAGTACCAGCAATTTCTGATATAGCCCAAACTCCCCCAGAGCACTTATAAAATCTCCAAACTCAGTCATGGTGACTACTTCTATGGCCAGGCTGCACTAGGGCACATTGCTTAAATAGGGAAATATTAATGTTTAAACTATGTAAGCACTAAACCCCTAATTAGGTGTGATAAAATGAGCACTTTTATCAGCACGTTCGTCCATTGTGATGATATACTGCAGTCCTCCAGGGTGTACTTTGTCACCAGCCATTCCTTCCCTGTTCTTGGGGCCAGAACAAAGGTGCCAGAGCATTGCCACTCTTGGGGACACCGTGGGGACAGTTTGTCTTGTCCCAGCCCGGAGTGTCTCCCAAGGCTTCCTGAAGGCAACTGTGCTGCAGGGCAAGCTTTTTGTCTGAGACTTGAAGTTGTGACTCTACGAATGAAGGCTAATTTTCCTAAGTGTGGTGAAGCAAACAAAGTAAATTTGCTGCTCTCATTAATGGCTTAATGGGTATATGGTCCATCCTGGAGACTATAGGAAAGAGAAGCAGAAAAGCACTTCTCCTCTGGACCAGGAAATATGGCTGGTAGTCAAGTAGACTTGGTCTTGACAGCTGTGTTCCAAGTTGTCGGTTTTCATTTGCCCCATGTAGAAACCCTGGTTAGTCATAAAACTAGATCTAAACTACAGTGTCTGTCTTCAGGAGAATCCCGAAACAGATTTGGCTTAGAGAGTAGCCTTAAGAAAAACATAGCACGTTACGCACACAGGCATATACAGAGCACACAGGATTTGGGGATAAGAAAAGACACCAGCTTGGCTTTGCCCAAGGTTCTGATGTCACTTGAAAAGCAGATTGACCTGATTTCTGCTGCACGTCTGAGCTGCTTCCTGGACAGACTCCCTGAGTGGTTTGTAACTTTATTCCTGGAAACTGGAAAGCCGGATTGCCCTCAGCGTATGAAATTCAGTGTGTAATTTGGTAAAGGTCTCCTGGCTGCTTTCACCAGAGAGATAAGGACTGCTCACTAGACATTGACCTGCTCACTTCATGTCTCCTCTCAAATTCCTTGTCCTTCACTCTCAACCCTCAGATAGTACGTCTGAGCCTCCAGCAGAGTTACTGAAGGATCACACAAGTCTGGACTGGTGTTTCATGAGTGGGTATGGCACTGACGTGCTTACGGAAGTGGGAAGAGAGGTGGAAGATAGGATCTTAAAACATTACCCCCTAAGCTGGGGTGGGAGAGAGAGGTCATACTGGTTAATGCTATTGGGAGTAAAGCAAAAGAGGAGTAAATGTTACTTAGAGTTGTGTAAATTCGCACCAGCGATGTGCATCTATCATGTGCACCACACAGCCAAACATATCACTGGGCTCTGGATCCACATCCTTAGGTGAGAGGACTTGCTATTATTTAGAGACATGCCTTGAACAGGAGGTCAAGCTAAGCAACCTCCAGAGGTTCGTTTTGCCCTAAATCCATCTCTGGCCATGTTGTGGGATGACTTGGCCAAGGAGATCCGCTGTGGCAGAGGAATTTTGACCCTGTTCTGCTGAACAGGGAGTAGGTGCCTTTTCCCTCAGCATGCAACAAGCTGAAGTCTTCAAGCTTACCCTGTTGTGTGTGGCTCATGGTCTTCCTTCCTGCTCCTGCACCAGCATCTCCTATGGCAAAGAGGTCAGATTTTGACTATAAAAACTCCTTGGGGACAAGCCAGATATGACTGCAGTCTCATGCACTAACACAGTTGTGAATTCTTGAGGCTGTTCTTCCTAACGTCACCAGACAGGCTCTTCTGAAGCCCAGTAAAAAGCTTCAGTCCTTTGTAAACTCTGTCACCCTAGGATGACATTTCTCTTAGCAAGACATTGTTCTTATGACTGTCTTCATCATCTTGGGCTGACTGGGTCAATCCTGCATGGTGGAGATCTCTCAAGAACAAAGGCTGGGTGAGCCCTGCAAACATCTGTTTCCTGGAGCCCCACTGCTAGAATTTCTGTGCTTATTTCTCTCTGTCTGACAGTTTTGCCCAGGTGTATTACTAATGCTTGCAAAGCCTCTTGAAAATGGAAAAGCCTCTATCAGAGGGCATGAGAAATCAGCAGGTCTCTGGGAAGACCTGGGACGGGCAGCTGGAAAGCCTGTACATCCATGTACAAATGTCAAGGACTAGGGGAAGGGAGAGGGAGCATCCAAGAGAGTAGTTCAGAAAGAGAAACCATTGCCTGGGGAGGAAGGCTGGTGCGGGCAGTAGGGCATTGATACATTCATTCATGGACTTGGCTTTTCTTTCACACAGCTCTAAACATCAGGAGTGACTGTGGTTGGAGACAGATTTGGACACCTATATGTTGGGCTGAATTGTGACCAGAATGGATTTGTACCCACCAGTTGTGGTACTCCTGCCTTTTCCCTATTCCTCCTAGTGCTGGCAGGGAGAGGTCAGGTTTATGGGTGTCATGTGCTAGTCACAACTTGGTCTGGGGTGTCACTCGGAGCGTCTTTGGCACAGATAACATGCCACCCCCTTCCCACTGCTTCAGTGAAAGGTACTTGATCCCTGCAAGCATTTAGGTCTCATTTCTCCATCTCTAAACACAGCTTGACCAGGTTTCAGGCAGGGCTGTGAGATAGCAGCACCTCCGTCCCAAGTCTCTTGCCCCATCCCAAGGTGAGACCAACTTCAGCATCTAATGAGTCAAGTAACTTTCAAGGACATCTCTCTTCTCCCTGATTCATATTAATTGAACAATCTCCCTGCACAGAGCACTGACACACTGCTTTGCAGCAGATGCAGTCATTAAGCAGCTTTATTCCTCCAGCAGATCTGACAGAGCCAGGGTTATTTCAGCACTGGTGAGGCAGGGAAGCTGTTGGGTTTTTTAATTTTAAAAATTAATTATTTTAACATCTTCATCCTTTTTTTTTTTTTTTACAGACAGATGATTAAAACAGGTGAAGTGATATGGTCCACAATCCTTTTCATAATACAGTGGTCTTGCTTTGACCCTCTGAGGTTTCTGGTGAGCTTGTTTATCATTGTATAATTGTTAACTCCTATAACATTTATGTTATGGCAGCAAAGGGCAGTCAGGGAGAGTCAGAGTGCAACCACAAAAGGAGAGCAGATGTAGCAATGTCCCCACACCCCAAGACTTCAAGAGACCTGGGTTCCCTCTCCTCCTCTGCCCTTCTGACCGCGTGACCTTGACAAGGTCCTTTCACTTATCTTTGCTCATCATCGTACAACGAGGCTAATGATGGTGACCTCCTATGTGAAGCAATTTTGCAGTTTACTGAAGGAAAAATATAATGAGAGGAGTGAGATATCATTATTATTAAGTGCAGGCAAGCCATATGGTGAAAAGGTGTATGATGTTTTGGGTTGGATTCATCTCTGGATGTCTAAATGTAGTTGTCTATATGTGAAATAGATACCTAAGGCTGCAATGTAGTTAGTGGAGATGGATCGACACAGTTAATAGAGTCCAGAGAGCTGTTAGTTTTTCGAATGGAGTTGTCTGTTTTAGGGTGGGCTGAATCACTCCCCAGACTGTACTTACTAATCGTCCATTGACTCTGATGTGGGCTTAAGCATCTGGTTTACATTGAAACAATAATATTGCAGACATCTAAACCTAATTTGGAGACAAACCTTTACCCTGGCCCCTTCAGCTTTTCCTTTGCCCATTGCATTTTACTTGTACACTTGTGGCCAAGGATTCGGTTCTTTCCTGATAATGGCATTCTGTTCTCATTAATTTTCTCGTTCTTGATTAGCTTGTTGCTCATGGCTCCTTGCTGGTTGGAGTTCTTTGGAAGTCTGTCTCCTCTCTGCCATGCAGACAGCGGCCATGCAGACATCCTTTGAGGGACCTCGGCAGTAGACTGTTCTCGTTCTTGATTAGCTTGTTGCTCATGACTCCCTGCTGGTTGGAGTTCTTTGGAAGCTGTCTTCTCTCTGCCATGCAGACAGTGGCCATGCAGATATCCTTTGAGGGACCTCGGCAGTAGACTGTGTGGAAGATCCCCTCTGCAGAAGACCCCTGGGTGCAGAGAACGGGGTGCTGGTTGGTCTCTCCTTGGAGGTTCCTCACAGTGGAGCCAGTTTTTGCAATGTTTCTGAACTGAGCCTGGGTGCAGAGAACGGGGTGCTGGTTGGTGTCTCCTTGCAGGTTCCTCACAGTGAAGCCAGTTTTTGCAATGTTCTTTTTCTGAACTGAGCACTGACCCACTATGACCAGGATAGAGACCTTAAATTTAGCTCCTTAAGCCATTAGTAAATCAGCCTATGCACAACTGAATTTGTCCCGTGCCAGAGGAGTGGGGGATTTCTAAACTGATTTAATGAGTCAATTTTTTTCCCATATCAGCTAAGTTGTGCTGCAGGGGTGGGTGCTTTTTTTAATCTTCTTTTTTTTCAACTATATAAAGAACTCCTGGTCTAAAAGGCCATCGTTTAACACATTCAGGTCTGCAGAAGAAAGACTTTCATCATCTTCTTCAACTTCTGATGTTTTTCTGCTCCTGTTCATTTTTTCAGGAGCCTCCTGGCCCATTTTGGTTGAATCAACATCGAAAGGATCAAAGACACCCCGATTAGAAGTTTCAGAAGCATGGCTGGTGAACATGTACATTGGGGGAAAATTGTCTTCCTGCATAGAGAGATGTTTGTTTGTTGAGCCTTCAGCACTGAGACCCAATCCAAATGTATCTTCTACAGCCTTTGGAGCCTGGCACTGTGGATCCAACTGCTGAAGCACTGCACAGCTCTGAATCCCTTCTGGGTCTCTAATATTAATCTCATCCTGTCCAGCAAGAAGCGAGAGGCTGGAGGTGTCCCACAATACTAGTGGAGCATTTGTTTCTGCTGGGATTTCCTGGCAGAATTCTGAAGGATTTGGATCAAAGCAAGGGGAAGTATCTGCCTCTGAATTTTGCAAGTCTGAATGTGGGATTTTACTTGCTATGCTGGGAAAATCTTCTCCAGAAAAGAACAAGTTATTGTCCTCCACAAAATCCACGTTGTCTAACTGAAGCTCAGCTTCCTTGGGTACCTTTTCTGAATTGCCTGGTGAA